AAAAATATACAATAAAATAAGAAAAATAATGTAGTATAAGGAGATATAAGGAAGCTGGGGATAGGGCTAAATGGTGCATTAAGACTGAGAAAAATGAGTTGACAAGACAATGAAACTAGAGATGTCAGAGATGAGATACATGGCTTTTGTAGAAGATGTGGAAAAAAGGATGTAACTCACATATGTACACTGCCTATAAAAAAAGCACATTTCACCCTCATTCTTCAAGAATTTCTTGTTATTCTGGACCTTTGCAGCCCTCAGCCACAAGCTCTTTGTTTGACACTGGTTTCAATAAACATGCTGGCTGCTGGAGATATCATTCAAGGCAATAAGAGATCGGTTGATCATATCTCATGTCTAGCAAACACTATGACCATGTTTAACAATTCCCCTGAGAGCAGAAAGGAACTTATCCCTTCCTTCTAAGACAGAAAGGGATAGAGATCTGCAAACAGAACTCTACCAATCATCGTCCTCTGCACGAGGAAAGAATAAAATATGAGTTAGCATGAACCTTATTTACATGGACCTGTAAAATTGTTTCCAGTAGTGTCTGAATCTTCAAAGGCTGTGGGGACTGTGCTCCACAGTGTTTGTGTTGTGCTCCTCATCTCTGGTGACAGTTTCAACTCAATATGACTGTCACCGATGTGTGTGTGCCGTGTTCTTGCCCTACTCTGGGACTTGGGCCTTGTGGCTTTATTCTTAATATTGCCATCACCAACTAGTTTCAGTGTTTTTCCCTGATGTTAGGATTGCTTGAGAAATGGAATCCTGAGTGCTGAGATGTCTGCCAGTCTGGGAAAAGATAACAAAGGCACAAATAGTTGCCCAAATTTTTTCATGGTTATTTTAATACATCTTTGTCTTATGGAGCACAGACATACATAGATAGGTTTTTCAGAAGTCACCATTATAGCTTGCTCTCTGCTCAACTGTCAGAGTTAAGTCAGTTAGATACATTTTATATATCTATATATCTATAATGTATAATGTATATCTATATATCTATATATTTATATATCTACAATGTAGAATTTATAATGTATGTATCTATATATCTATAATGTATCAGTAGATACATTTTATATATCTATATGAAATACACTGTCAGTATTTAATTCCAGTGTAGTAATGAGGTTTTCCCTTACAGCAGTCTCCTGTGAGGAGCTGCCATATATCTTATCTATAAACTGCAGCAAAATCTTGCCACAGTAAATTGTGGTGTATGACCTGATGTGATTTTATACAAATCTGCACTTACAGCTCTGGGTCTCCAGCACTGGTTGAGAATAGTTTAACAGCCACATGGGCAGAAGATACATGCAAAGAATTAGTTTCCTGTAGACCTCTGGGTCCTTTGATGGGCATTTCCTTCCCATGTCTAATGATAGATGAACCCAAGTCAAACTAAGATATATGCTTGGGCTTTCTGCAGAGTCTGTGGGCTCAAATAAAAGCTTCAGTGCATGTGAAGGTGCCGTGACTAAGTGTAAGAAGACCATGAAAATTTTAAACCTGATTCTATGGGAATAATTTGTTGAACCTCAAGACTTAATGCAGTGTCTATCTAGGCTGGCAGAAAGTGATCCCCAAGTAGAAGAGCAATATGATCAGAAAACTGATGAACTCTGTATAACATCAGCTCACTGCTCTTCCACCTTTCCAGTTCTCAGGACAATTCTGCAGAAAATCAAAGTAGAAAGCTTCATCTGTAATGAAGTGGAATAATGGATGCAATAATGGAATAATGATGCAATAATGATTGGAAATGGTGATGTGATAACGAACTTCATAAAACCTTTTTCTTTCTTACATCAATCCAGACAGTTTTGGCAGGGCCAGTGGAAGATCATCACTTCTTGGGCCTGTTCTATGAGTCTGTTCTTTGTCTGGTCACAAGTCTCACTGAAGTTCATAGAAACCTGAAGATCAAACTGAAATTTTCACTAAGGATGTCCTGATTTTGATGTCACTTTCTTCATCTTGTTTTATCATTGCTTTCTTATTCAGTTTCACTTTGCTATTACTGCCACGTTTTACTCCTTCCATACTTACCTTCCTCAATAATGGACCTACTTTTTTTTCTTTTACAAGAGATAGCTCCATTCCAGCTCTTTATTTACATCTGTTTTCCTGTAATTACAGCTTTTACTTTAATATACTCTGAATCTGTAATTCCTAACACTTTTACATGTGTTTAGACCTTAGAATCTTTTGAATGTATGGTGGTGGACTCTCATATTTTTTAACACATGTCCAAGTGTAATATAGTTGATGGGACTCATTCCATCACTGTAGTTTTGCAGTGCCCACTAATAGAGTAAACCTACAGACTGACTTCCCTACCTGGAGCTGTTTTCAGTTTGAGATTTCATTTCTTCAATTATACAGTTTTATAAAACTACTACTACAGTTTCAGCTCTATTACTTTAAGGTAACTATTTTATTTATTTCTCTAAAATAGGGCGCTTTGTATCAATATGAATGACTCTCAGGTTATACATAGATTGCAAATAATATGTTAGTTATGGAATATGTTTTGCTTATTACATATAAGTGCTCTACAGGTAGCATGTTTCATTATGTGATCTATTTTTTGCAACAATTTAGCTGGTTTTATTTTTCTTTTCTTGGTTTCATGAGTGGGAATAGGGCTGGAGTTATGTGGATTATTTCTTTTTATAACCATGTCTGCACCGTGTGCTATCTGCTTCAATGTTTCTCTGTAGAGCTTCAGTTAAATTACAGAAGGCTGTTCAAGAAGGAGGAAACAGCAAGAAAAACAATAATGAAGGCAAGTAGGTCATCAGAAGAGCTCTTAGCTGGAAAGGATTCTGATAAGATCCTACCACAAAAGCATGGTTTGCTTTCCTTGGTGCTGAAAGCCTAGGACCAGAGAATCATGTCTTTAATGACAATGGTACATAAAGCAAGAAGCACTGTCCTGATTTTTGCATGTTTTGCTGTAGAGATGCACCTGTGAAACAGAGAGATACAGAGATGCAACAACCAGCCAAAAAGTGTGAATGAACCTGCACTGTTAACAGCTGATGTAAACTTGGAAAGGATATGTGGGTACAGAACTCTGCTTCCTTTGCCCACCTTCCTATGTAATATATTTCTTTCAACATTTTTTTTTGTTTGTTTCTATTTTTTCCATCTTTATTTTGAAGCTCTTTCTTGAGCTTCTGCTGTCCATCAGTCACAGGTCACTGAATAGAAAAACCTTTAAAGTTCCAAACCCATTAAAATGTCTGTGAGGCAGGAGAATAAAAGAGTAGACTCAGTGACAAGCATGCATGTAGAACTGATTCCAAAGAATTGTGCTTTTAAAAGGGAGAAAAAACCCCAGTTACAGCTATCTGGTCAGAATAACACTTGGCTATATGTTGTGGCTACTACAATGAAAAAGCTTTAAACCAAGTTATTACAGAAACTATATTAGCAGTATTCATTAAAGCAAACAGAACTTTTCCTAAAGCAATTGAAAAAAACCCCTCATATTCATGTTAAATACTTTCTATATTTTGGCTATTCACAGAGTGAATAGTCTAACTTCATTCCTTACTACTAGTTTGTTTAAATGATGCACAGGATTTAATGTTAATTTTCTACCTAATATGGGTTGTTATTTGAAATGAACCCTCTTTAAAAGTGTTCTTTTATTTTTTTCTGCATTCTTAGCCATATGTTTCCAAATACGTAATTCCAGAGCTTATTAAAAGCACAGCTTTTTCTCCATCTTTAATCACATTATAGCTACTAAGGTACATCTTGCATATGGCTTCTCATTAAGAGCAACTGACAATGACAATGACAATACTAAAACAAAGGAAAAAAGGAAGACCAGAGAAGATACTCTTAAGCTAAAGTTCTAGCTGCAGCATGAAATCACCTATATTTCACACAAAAAATGCAGTGTGAGTTAACTCAATTACCAGTTGCCTGCCTGACTGCCCCACTGGTTTTCCTGACACGGGCTGCTTCTGCCACCACTGCCAGTGCCAGGGGATTGCACTCCATGAGACAACTGAGGACTAACTGAACTTTTAAATTCTACCAAGTGGCCAAGTTAAGAGTCATTTGAAGCACAGCAAAACCCCTGAGCTACATGCAGAGAGACAGTGCTCTTTCAGTAAGACATCAAATTTGATAAGATTGTTTACACTGTGAAACAATATGTGTAACAACCATGACATTTGTAAAATCTGTTCTTACCACTGTACAGAAAACAAATTTCACTGCCCATCTTTGAAATTAAATATTGGTTGAACATGACTGCACTAATTAGATACATAAACAACTTTTTATGGCAACTCTCGGTAGTCTTGCCTACGTTCTTTCCTTCTCCTTTTTGTGTATTCACAATTCTGCGAAGTATCAGCAGGCCTGGATGAGTTTATACCTTGTCTTTGCCACAACTGGACAGATTAAATGTCTCTACTTTTGATTAGGTTATTTTTCCTATATAGACCATGTGTTCGCTTTTTTTTTAAATCATGATCCCTACAAAGAAGATTAAGATCAAGAAACAAATTTAGCAAACACTACAAAGGTGATTTGCTTAAATTAGTATAATAACACAGATGAGGTCTTAGGTTTCGTAGTTATCTAATACATGCCATACAGTGATCCCTTTGCTTTTGTGATTAGAGACACAAATGTTAATTCTATTATTATCTAAGAAACATCAAACTTTGTCTGAGATTTTTAAGTTGCTTAGATAAGAGTGAAAATAATAATGACAAAAATTTAGAACACAGTAAAAGCTGTTACCAGTCAGTAGTAACACATTTATTTGTGAAGAAACTACAGGTATCTACTATATGTATCAACTAATATCTTGAAATCCTATGGAATGAGTTTATTTTGTGAGAATACTTGGCATTATTTCTTTAAAACCTGATCAGAGGTGAACAAAAGCTTTCTCTTTGACCCCATCACCAAACATATGTGTAAATGTTGAAAAAAAAGTCACAATGCATTTTACTCACCCTCATCCTTCCGTTTCTTATTGCTGGTCCATCTTCTGCTAACCTCAACACATACAAATCCATTTTGTACTCCCTTCCTCCTCGAATACTAAACCCAAACCCTTTGGCTCCTTTCTCCAAATCAACGGTGAAATAATCAAAGTCCTGTACAGACAAATACAAGATGGAAGACAATTATGGACAAATATAGACATTGTGGCATGCATTCAGGAAAATTTTAAAATAGATCTCTTCAAAAATGTATCAATCCACTTGATATAAGCAAAGGTGCATAGAGGGGTCTGTAAGGGAAATTGAAATGTAGCTTCTGATCCATTGTTAGCAAGATCCATGGGAGAAGAAGAAAACAAAGAGCAAACTTGGGTTGTGCATCTACTGATTAGAGAATTAAACTAGAGATGCTGGGAAACAACCAACCCAAGCATCTCTCTAGATGCTAAGAAGCATCTTATAAGATATGCACACGGGGATAGAGATTTTCTACTTAGAAACTGAAATGCACAATATTTTCATAGGGTTCTTTGGATCCCATTTAGGAATTTCAGTATTTTTCTTGATACAGGTCTGCTTTTGAAAATATGGATGTACAAACCACCTATTCATGGTTCCAGCATAAAATGTTCAGAAGTTTACAGTCTCCTATTTGATACTTTTTGACCTCTGTTCTTCCTGCCTTTATGTAAGGAGAAAGGAAGGTTTTTTCCAAAGTCTGAACTTTGAGCTAAATCCTCAACCTTCAAAACTGTCAGTAAATATCTGTCATCAGAGGAGTCTTGTCCAAGGTACCATAACTCTTCATCTAACTCATCATCTCTTTGAATTTGTCAGATCATGCTTGATGTCAAAGAAACTAGTTGCATGGGCTAGTTTCTATTCATCCAGACTATTACCAACAGAAATTTAATTTTATCAGTCAGGATTTTCATTCCTTTATTTATTTATTCCAATTAGATAAAATCTTAATTTTCAAGAATGCTGTAGAAATGCATTCTGACCTAAGTATACCCACTGTTTGATGACTGTGTGCCAAGAATGAAAAAATTGATCCTCTGATGAAAAAGCTCTTTATGTTAGAATTTTCATTTCAACTCTCCAGTACCTTAAAATTGGCATTTATTTAACATTGCTGTCACACAATTATAAATGTAATGTTAATTTACAGATCACACAGTTATGCATTAATATTAATGGTTTGGAAGTAATTTCCTCTACAAAGAAATAGTAACTCAGAGTAAAACCCTTTAATGTGTCCCTTCCACAGTGGCATCCTCCTTTTACCAGCACCCATGACCTGTCCCTACAGACCCCGTGCCTGCTGTGCAAGAGAGCCCTGGGTGTGTGTGCCTGTACCTGGGGCTGCCTGTACTCGGCCAGGGGGTACTGCCTGGTGTCGGGGGAGTGCTGCCTGTAGTCCATCAGGGGGGGCTGCCTGTAGTCCAGCGGTGGGGGCTGCTGGTAATCCATCACCGGGGGGTGCCGGTAGTCCAGCGGGGGCTGCCGGTAGTCCGTGGAGGATTGCCTGTAGTCTGTAAACGTGGGTTGCCGGATATCAGGCTTCACATCCTGCCGGGCTTTTACTTCTGACCTGTAACTGAGGAAAGCACGATGGCTTAGTTTCAGAGTAGCAAGGCATTAAGAATATGTGTTGCATGCAATACTGAGGACTGAAAGCGTGCCTGGCTGCAAAATTGCACGGAACAAATTTACACAGAGAAGCAAATCTCTCAAGGGTACATAGTCGAGGCACCCAAAAACAGTGAGCGCTTTTTGAAACATGGGCATAAGCAATTTTCCCCTAGGTCTTACTATGAAATCTTCCAGCTTGTATCAGTGAGATCAGAATTAGACTCAAAGGGACAGGAATAGAAAAAGCATCTTGCTTCCCACTTACCTTGCCTATTTAGAAGGTGAAACTGCGTGTGGAAACACCCACTATACTCACTACAAAATAATTCACTGATCTGATAAAGTGCTTCTTTCCAGAATTAGCATTTCTATGGAATAAGTAGAATATCTGTGCAGTTTATATACCCTTTCACTGGCATAAAATATTATTATTGTGAGCTTCTTATGGTTAAAAAAGGAGAAATTCTTTGTTTTAGCTGTTATCTCTTTAATGAAAGGTATTCTTTGATATAACATCTTTTAATATAGTGTGTATTATTTTTATTATACACTCCTGTGATGTTATCTGGCTAAAAGCTATGACAGTAAAGTCATGTCAGTAGTTATGCACAGAAATAAAACAAAGTGAAAAGGAAATAAATTTGGTTATGAGGTATTAATAACAAGTAAAGTATTGCTTTAGCTGGTAACTGGTTACAGGGACATGGGTCGTAAAATTTGAAAGAAAACGTGACTTTCTGAGGTGCAATGACTAGTTATTTACTTTATTCAAATGGGATTTTCCTAAGTACATGGAAATTAACACATAATGGCACTTCAGGGTGAAGTAAAGAACATTCCTTATGGCAAACTTCCATACCTCAGCCATGTGGCGTCCTAAAGAGGCACAAAAGAACCCCTGAACTCTTTTAGCAAAGTAATTTTGTGATAGTAATTAGGGTTATATTTTAACAAAATGTTCAGAGAGTGGATGTTCTTACACTCTTCCCTGGGTGCTGAAGGAAATATTTCTTTCCTATACGGGAAATAGACATTTCAAATTCTGTTTCTATAATGGACTGGAAGTTTTCAGTTAACCAAGTGACCATGTCTCTTCCTGGACACATATAGAAACAGAGACACATATAGACTGTGAAAGGTATTTTGAAATGTACTTCCTGATTACAAAAATTAAACTCTGAAAAAATGACAGCATTGTTTTTCACTATGTTGATTCATATATAAAAAGGTAATCTGAATCTAAATGTTTCAAAATGTCTGATATGCTTCAAGACTTCATTGTTTCATTAATGTAGTTACAGTGACATTATGGCAAATCCTCCTACACAATAGTTTTAATAATCTGAATGTCTAACCAGGCACAAAAAAATCGAAACTATTTCCCTTTGACTTTTCTGAAAAGATTAAAATAGACTGCTGCCACGTGTTCTTTTAAAATCTGTACATGGCATCTATAATAAGACTTGTGTGCATACATGCAGTCCTCTTACTTTCTTTACTCAATATCATGATCCTGTAAAAAGAAGATAGAGGACAAACAGGCTTACTGTGATACTGAGCCTTATTAATATTGGAAGTAAAAAAACTAGTTAATATTCCTAAGAGAATTAATATCTTATTTTGGTAAAGAAACAATGTATGTGGCTGTACAAACAAGATAAAATCTAACTTATAAAATCTAGTGAAAAATAATACTACATGAACTAGCAATAGTTAACCTTTTTCTGAAATAAGAGTAATCTTTAGGCAGGTTCCCAATATATGGGCACAGCTGCATATCAGAAGATGATGTTTCAATTCACAGATGGAGGCATTGTAATTTTTGCTGAATTTGTAAATGGTGACATGAGCAATTAGAGCTTACACTTTTCAGTAAAATCATTACAGAATTTCTTTCTGGAACTTTAATTAATTTCGTTTGCTGGTCCCATCTGAAAATTCACAAGTTAACAGCTATTTAATACTGACTTCCAACAGCATAGAATGACTTTTGTGAAAACTTTGTATTGAATTTTGTCAGAAACATATGACTTTTAGGAGGTGATCACTTTTGGAAAAAGTACTCAATGAAATATAAGGCAAAGTAAATCTGACTAATTGAAAGGAAAAGATTCTGGGCAAGTGAAAGTAATACATCTGTTAAGCAAGGAGAATTAGAGGGTGTAGTGTCTGAATCACAAGTGAACTCAAGTATTTTCAGAAGAGAAAAGTTACAATCCTGTAACCAGCATCATTTGGGAAAGAGGATCTTGATGATATGTGTTGGTTACTGAAGATTAGCATAAAGACAGTCAGTATAATCAGCCTTATTTAACATGCTAAATAATAATCCAAAGACTAAATAGTGCTGATTGGAGGTCACAGAAAGTTGTATCATCCCACAGCTTTTAATAGAGCTGGTCACAAAATTTCTGTCGATTTCCATGACAGATAAATTTGCTAACGTATATGCATAAATTACACATGAGAAATTGGCTGGTAAATGATACGCTGGAGATTAAACCCACCATAAAAAATATCTTCCTGACTCCAGACTAACATACAAGGAGAAAAAAATAAAAAAAAAAAAGAGACCACTGAGAAAATGCAAAACCTGTTCTCGTGTCCCTGTGGCTGGAGGGGCTGTGGAGGTGGAGGCTGGGCCACAGGGCTGTGCTGGGCGACGGGGCTCTGCTGCGCCAGGGGACTCTGCTGGGCCATGGGGCTGTGCTGCTGGGCCATGGGGCTCTGCTTCTCCGAGCTGGGTGCTGAGGCTGGGCTGTTCAGCTCTGCATAATGGGGAGATGGAGATTAAAGACCTGTCACAGTGCAGCATTTATTAAAGGGCAAAGGTACACAATAATAATTTTTGGTCATGCACTATCTCTGCAAATTTATGCTTTGTCATTTTTACTCTCTCAGGTTATAATTAGATTTTAAGACACTTGAACCTAATGGTCTCCTTTTGATAATCTGTGGGATCCGGAATCTTAGTGACTTCTTTAATTCTGGTTGACACTGTCATTATTCAAAACACAATTGAACAAGGGAAATTGCTTCCATGTTTCACGTACTCTTTTAAAGCATAGAAATACTGACCATAGAATGATAGAATGATAAAATCATACAGTCATAGAATAGCTTGGGTTGGAATGACACTTAAAGATTGTCTAGTCCAACACCCCTGCAATCTTCAACAAGACCAAGCTGCTCAGAGTCCTGTCCAACCTGGCCTTGAATTTTGACTGGAATTCCAGGATGGGGCATCTACCACCTCTCTGGGCAACTTGTTCCAGTTTTATTATCCTCATCATAAAAAAAATCTAATCTCTTTTTTTGTATCTGTCTGAATCTACCTCTTTTTAGTTCAAAGCTGTAAGACCACTTGTCTTATCACAAAAGACCCTGCTAAAAATCTGTCCCCATATTTCTTATAAGCCTCTTTTAAGTACTGCATGGTCCAAGTAAGATTTCCTTGGAGCCTTGTCTTCTCCAGGCTGAACAACATCGATTCTCTCAGCCTTCCCTCATAGGAGAGATGCTCCAGCCCTCTGATTGTCTTCATGACCCTCCTTTGGACTGCTTCCAGCAGGTCCAGAGGACCCCACAGCTGGATTCAAAACTCCAGGTCTCATGAGAGCAGACTAGAGGGGCAGAATCACCTCCCTCAACCTGCTCACCCACTGAACAGTCCCCCCATCAAGCTCATTTCTCTCTGATTTCGAGAGAAGGATGCTGGGGTAGCATGTCAAAGGCCTTACAGAGATCCAGCTAGGTGAGAGCTATAGCTCCTCCCTTGCCTATTGCTGCCCCTGGTGTAGTTTCTCTACTGTAGAAGGCCACTAGGCTGGTTAGGCAGTACTTACTCTTGGTAAAGCTGTGCTGGCTGTCCTGAATCACCTCCCTGTGCCTTAGCACAGCTAGAAGATATTTGAAATGCTTTCCATTTAGGAAAAAAAAAATCATTTTAAGAAATGAACATTTTACTGCTTTATCCACTGTTTGGGATGACAGACATGTCACAAAAACTAAAACACTGATGTCCTTACATTAGCTCCTGAAGTCTTTGAGCTCATCAAGAGTTTCCTGTCTTTTTAAATTTTTTGGGGACTGTGAACAGTAGAACAGTAAACCCAATCTCAATGAATTCTGACTAACCATTTAAACTGATGTTTTATTTCACTGTATTATGTCAATTGACTAAGGTTTCACATAGGAACAGTGCAGAAAAACAGAATCATTCTTTCCAGACAACACAAAATTCAAAGACAGAGAGATTGGTATAGGAAATATGGTTTTGTTGCTTTTTTATTAAGATGCCAGTCTTCATTCAGGATTCCTGCTGGATTGGAGGGGTGGTACTGAGCTCATATCAAATACATTTCTTCCAATATCACTAGCACAGTCCTGTTCACCATTTACCTATTAGGATGCATAAATGTGAGAGAATCCACCCACAGGATGATAGAGCACTGCAGAAGTTACTATATTACCAACAGCATAGGCAAATATTATATTTTTTTCTATTCCTGCTTGCAACAGAAGGAGTGAGGCCAGTGTGGCATGGTGCAAAACAAACAAAATGGACACATATAGGTCTGAGAACCCCTAAGAGCAATAGCTATACATGTTACAGATCTTGCCTAATTTTACATTTGACTCTTGTTTTAATTTTTATGTGTTCTATTTTTAAAATTTCAACATGTGAGTTTTCCCTATGGCTGCATATTCTCTACTTATCTAATTTATACTCACAATTATAACATTTTTGTCTACTTTATAAAAAATATTTTCCATTTAATATTAATTTTCAAAAAAGCTGGTATATTTGCACTTAAAACACTCCTTATGCAGGCATAAGCAATACTTGTCTGTATAATTACTATGCATAAGGTTGTAATTTCCCATTTTGCATCTGTGAGTCTCTTTTGTATTGCAAGTTTTAGAGAGGAAGATTGGAAATGTTGTCCCTCATTTCTACATTACTCTCATAACTATGGATGAACTGGTCAAATCATGAGCTGCTTCAAAAACCACTTTGCATTTATATAGTATTTTTTTACCTGAGAACATATTACAGAGGTATTAGAATTTTTACCAATTTTTATAAGCTGGGAAGCTAATATCAGAAGGCAAATGGGGTGTCCAGTGTCACACAGTCACACAGGGAAGCCGTGCCTTGGGCACAGACAATTTCTCACTCCTAGCACCTGAGAACATCTTGTAGTATGACAACTCAGCTGCACCCCTGCTTTCTTTCTGATTTAATGTATCCATCTCTAACACTGAGCTATTAATGACATTTAACCTGAATACCAGAGAGGCTTAAACAAACTTAATGGGCTGGATGAAGTATCATACTTATTTTAGATGCTTGCAAAGCTGACCTCCAGTAATTACATGGGTGCTAATTGATGTGAATTCTAAATTTGAGTATGTTTGTGTTTTTCCCTTCACTGAATTCATTTAACAAAATAGATAAGTTTCCTCAGTTGCAGTCTATGACCAGTGTCAGACTATTTCCCTGTCCCGTTGCTGGATGCAGCAGCATGAGGTGAAAGGTCATCTAACTGGACCATTAAGTAATTCCATCACTTTCTGTGTGTCATTCCCAGCTCTACTGGTACCTTTTGCTGAGATATAGAGACATAGTGTCATTAATGTGGTACAATTCATGCAGCAGTGCAGCACACTGTTAAACTAAAGAAGCCCTGAAATCAACCCCAAACCCCATGGAACCAACATCAAAAGATCTTCACTGATTAGATGTGGAGTAATGACCAGAGTAATGAGTCTATCCCCTTATTCTCACCCTAGAAATAATTCAGGGTTCAGTTCTCTCCTGCCTTGTGCATTTATAGTGACATATCACTATATGATAGTGATGGAGGAAACTGCCAAATCTGAACTCTTCCTTCACATCACTTTTTGTCACATGTAGCTGGTAGCTGAACATGCCTGGTGACAGCCATTGCAGTCTCTTGTGAATCACTTTGTCAAACACTGGCTTGGCTTATAGCAAGATATAAGGGAAATAACTCAAAACTTGTCTCTCAGGTGGAGTGCTTTTCCATGTAGAAGACAATTCTTGCAAAAGACCTTAACATCCTTTTTCTCTCTCTCTGTCAGGTTTCTCCAGGTTTGCTTTAAATACCCCTTTTCATAACTTGAAACCTTTTCAAGAATTCAGATCCTATCTGGGCTAGTTCTAAGCTCGAAATTCTGGTGTGCTGCACGCTACAGCAGAGGAAGGAGAACAAAAGATACTCTTTCAAATGGTGACATAATTTAAGCTAATTGGAGACTACTTAAAATTTTCTTCCTGTTTTTAAGGGCCATTGACTTACCTTCCTGAGGAATGATGCGAAGAGTTACACTGAGACCTGCATCTTTAATTAGCTTCACAATATCTGCATGAGGCATGTTAATAATAGACTGGCCATTCACAGCTAAGATCCGGTCTCCAACTTTAAGTTTTGCACAGCGATCCGCAGGACTTCCATCAATTATCCGCCCTATTTTATGGGGTACAGCTAGACAAGAAACAATAGTCACAGTTAACATATGCTGAAACAGGTGGTGATGTTCACAAATGAAAGAAAATAAGTTCATTTTGGAAGAAAATTCTATATGAATTACAAAACAGCTTGTGTAAAAGCATAAAAGAATACAAATTCTTATGCAATATCATTTGCAGTAACACAGTACTGTGTTTTTTCACTAAAAATTCAGAATCCAGATACATATATACACACATGGCATATATATATGAAGTAGAAATTAATTTTATAATTCAGCTATTTTGCAAACCTGGCACGAAACAACCTAATAAGCAGATCAGGAAAACAATAAGGCATTAAAACAGGGAAAGGGGATAAATTTACACAATAAGTAGCAGTCATAAATTGCCTCCCACATCCTGGTTTACAGAATTTCTTTATTTGTATGTTGCAATAGAGGCATCAAAACCATTATTTATTTTATATACAAAAAACTGTTACTGAAAATGCCCAGGGTACATCGAATTGTTCTCCTCCATTCAAATGTGTTTATTGATAAATAGAAATAATACTGAAGATTTATTGAGATGGGTTGCTCTCTAATTAGATATTATTAATAAATGAATAGAATTGACTTGACAGGTACCTATGAGTACATAGACATGTACTACATGAAAACATCTCAGGGCTCTTCTCAAAACATTACAGAATAAAGCTTCTCTTGCTCTTTGTGGTTCTTCACCTTTCTGTTTACTCCATCCATGCTCTTGTTCTGTCTCTTCCCTCATTTTACACTGAATTTTCTAAATATTGTTCTTAATTTTTTTGACCAGTGTTTCTATTCTATTATCATCTGTTTTTTAACTAAATGCATATGCTATAGCTGAGTCTTTTCTCTAGGCTCCCCAAAGAGCATGTTAATTTTCCTTCTCCCAACTACTCATAAATATACTTAGCACAATTAAATGACTATATAGTCTATTAATATCCTAATGGTGTTTGAGTATTCCTCCACAGTCCCACACTTCAGTCCTGGAAAACAGCACAAAGCGGCTCAGCCTCACTGTCAACCTTTAAACTGGTGTTTAAAACCAGTGTGGTTATTTTTTTTTCCAAAAATAATATAACCTTAACATTTAATTATCTACAGAGAACTTGGAAAAATGAAGGAAAAGATTGTTCAAATGCTTTTTGGGAAATATCTAGGCTATCAATGCTCATATAAACCAAAGCTCTAACAGGAGATGTGTTCAGAATACAATGCTGCAGAACAAATTTCTCAGCACCCTGATAAACATTTACTGAAGGTTTTGGTGACTAACACAGACTGCACATCTGATATAAAGTCACAACAGACATACCTCAAAGTGACTTTTGTTTCTAGTTTGGATGTAAGTGTTGTTTACAGTGTTAAAAATTAGTTTTCAGAACACTGAAAATATAAATGAGTACTCTGAAGTGCAAGCCATAATCAAACTGCATGCTTCTTTACCACTATGGTTCAGGCAAGAATATAAATTAAAACACAGCTTTAGTAACACAACAAAGACATAACAAATGTACTTCAGAAATGTCTTGTTGCTTAGGAAATAAGCACCTAATTTATGTCACAATGTCTAAATATTTCTATGTTTTAAAATATACTAAATATGTACAGCCACACTTTCTACAAAAAATGTGTTTATTCTGCCCTTAATTCAGGCATATAACTGCCATACATACATATCAGTGAGCAAACAATAAAAGAGTAACTTGACTCTTAAACAGTTTATGTTTGCAAAGAGCTTTTTTCATCATATCAGTTCTTAAAGCATCACCAAGAATCACTTAAACTAATACTAAAATGTGCCTGTTTCTGGCATATGTAATAAAAAATCTGTCTGAAATTATAATTTATTTACTATATATTAGTGGAGATATGAAAAGGAGACTGTCTTATGTAAAAAAGTAAGAAATTTGGTAGTAAGAAAGAAGGGGAAATATGGTAGAGATGCCACAACTAAAATTTCCAGGCTTGCCATTTCTAACCCTAAAGATGTTTTTGCTAGCCTAAATATTTAAGTAGAGACATCTTTTCAGTAGTAAGGGGTGTGGGAGGGTGGGGGGTGGGAAGTCCTATTAATTCGCCAGAAATTTTTTTTGTTGGACTTCTTGTACCTGACAAGTGAATAGAGCAGATGTCTGCATGTTTGAGATGTCTGCTGAAATCAAAGCTGGAGGTGGGAGAGCAACGAGAGTCTAATTTGGATCCAAATCCTGAGGAAAGGAAAGGGAGGGAGAAAGAGGAGGAACTTGGTGTTCTTTTCTTTCTTCCCTTTAAGCGTAATGGTCTTCACCTTCCCGATAAAGGAACCTACTCCACATGTTTTGGTATCCTTGAACTCCATTCTGTTGTGTTATTAAAGGATCAACAATAGGTGACCATAGGTGGCTTTGATATTTGAAGATTTAATACTCCTCAGGTTGTATTGGTGTCACATATTGCCACTTGATCTTGCTGCAAAGCAAGAAGGTGTGGGAAAATTTTGCAGAATTTTTTGCAGATTTTTGCAGAATCTGTTGGATTCAAAGTTACACTGTTATGCTCTATAGGGTTTTATGGGCAAATCTAGTGACTTACTAGAGGAGCTCACGGCCACTCAGCAGATACTGGTTTATGCACATTCCTAGATAATATGAGGGGAAGTTTATCCCCCAGCTCCTTCCCTCCCAGTAATATTATCCTGAGGATTTTCTGTTCTTTGCTTCTCTTCCCAGTGGAACTCTGCCTGAGAGCCCTCCTAAACTACAATATCCTGGCTGCCATGGTCCCAAATGCTTCCTTGGGAAGGGAAGATTTATTTAGGCCTTTTTTCACAAGCATAAATTCTTCTAAGGGAAGCAGATTATCTGATGTGTAAGTTGTTCATCAAAAAACCACAACCATAATATTTTAGAAAACTTTCAGTTTTAGAGAGAGCCTTTGGTGGTGAAATACTTTGAAAGGATAAGAAGGAGCTACTCTCATAGGGAATTAATTAGGTAAAAGCTGAAGAATAAAGGTAGAAATGAACTATGAATTTCCATAATGGAGAATTTTTATTGTTCAGAATGGTCACGCCTAAAACAAGTGTGGAAGAGCTGTAAAGTGTCAGCAGGGAGTGGGTTGACTGAAGTGGCAGACAGGATCTCATGAAAAGAAATGCAAGATGATGCAAGTAAGGAAAAAATAACTCTGCCTAAGATTAAGCAGAGATGAGCCCTAAATTAATTATTATCACTCAAGAGACCCTGAAATGTGTGCCTATTTCTCTAAAAACATTGTCATTAAAACAGTCAATATGGCACTAAGAGTTAGAAAAAGAGTAACAAGTGAAGCAAACTACTGCTAGTTACTGCCATGCACCTAAAATCTGAGTATTGCTGATCATTTCAGTATCCTCATCTCAAAAATCATAGCAATGAACTCACAGAGATTCAGAGAAGGGAAGCTTGGAAGTCAGAAGCAAAAACCAGCCTCTGCTCAAAGGAGTTGTCCATGATTTACTGTCTACACCTTGCGAAAGAGAATTTGGGGCAACTTTCTGGAGGGGTAGAAGAATAAAAGGATTCAAAAAGGGATTAGACCAATTTATGGGGGTGGACCCACTGCTGACTTAATCAGAACACCCTGGCTGTGAAAGCTGACAAAATGCCTGGGAAGGGTCTTGTCTGCTGTAGATGTCCTCTCTGCAGCTGGTCACAGCAAAGGGACTGGGTGGCTACAGGGTCTGTCCCATCATGGCAGGTCTCGGAAAGAAACCTCCCATGTCTGGCATTTAATTAGGGATTTGTTAACCTACAATACTTTTTTTTTTCTTAAATTGGATATTTAATAATTATAATTATCTGAGAAGAGCATCTAATTTTAACCTTTTAAGGAAAGTCCCAGATCACCCGACTAGTGGTAAATATTTCCTATCACCCTTAACAATTTTTACTAGTCTATTCATGCCTCTTTTAACAATTTGCCACAAGCTGTTCTCCAAACATATGTATATATTGAAGAGTGGCAGCATGTGCCTAGATGAGACTTTGCAGAGAATCTAATCCACTTATTTCAAAACACTGAGTTCCCTGAGCAACATTATATATAGCCTTTATCAGGCTATAGAGAAAGACTGGAATTTGTGGCTGTTTTTTTTCCCAAGAAACCCATTGTTTTTGCTAAAAGTGAACACAGAAAACAAGCTGCCCCTTTGCAGATAATTAATTTCTTGCCTCTCTCAGACTACACAATGAATGAGACTGCAAGGAAAAAAATTACTGTAAACAAGGATTAATACATATTTTTTAATTGTTGAAAATATGGGAAATTAGTAAGAATGATTTTATATGTATACAAACCACACAGCCCTTTAAAATAGACATATAGGGTCATTTTCTCCAGTACTATCAAGTAATGCAAAACGTGATACTTGGGACAGATATAGTTGGATATCTACCTTAAGATAAAAGAAACCCTTCCAAGACAGAAGGCATAATCCTAGACCTAAAATAATCTAGCAGAGAGTAGCAAGTGCTGCAGGAACCTTATCTAACAAAAGATCTTACAATGGAATGTAATGTTGTACAGTGTATTTTTCAAAATTTCATTACTTGGGGAAGATTTGAATCCTGAGAGCTGAAAGCTTCTATGATATTTGAAGTCATTCATTTTTCCTCCTAAATCTTGCTCAGATATTTACAGCATTACAACACAAATTGACCCATGGTTGGCATGTAGCAGCTGAGGCTTTCCCACAACATATTTAATAGTGCAATGATCAGCTCTCAGTTAATTAAAGAGAAATTAAATGAAAAAAATAAAAGACAAAATGATTCAAAGGAAATGTTTGCACTTAGAAAATGGATAAGGTCTGCTTTCAGAAACTTACCAATAACTACAAATTTACATTTTTCTCTATATTAATAATTTTATTTGATAAAAATAATCCACTTTTACTCTCCATGATTCAAATTAATATCCTTAACACATCTGCATGTCACATAAAAGAGAAAAAATTTTGTGTCAT